CCTCTGCTGCAGACAAGGCAGAGCCCGCACTGACTGCTGGTCTGGCCTGCCACAATCATTCCTTTATTTTGAAGTAACTCCTCTCAGTCAGCCCAGAAGCCGCCCAGAGGGTCAGCAGTTCCCTTCTGGAAGCACGCAGCAGCTGCGAAAGCTGCTCCTCTTAGCGTACAGCCTGGAATAAACTGACATTACGGTGGGATTTGGACGATTGCCTCTTCGGCCCAGAGATTTACCTGCAGCTTAAGTGAGGGCTCAGGAACAAGATTCACGTGCGGGAAACAGAACACCTTGTCTGCAGTCAGACTGACTTAGGAACAGGCAGGGAGCTTTCAATTAGCTTTGAAGTTCAGACTAGCCTTAAGAAAAAAAGTTACACTTGCTTTTTTCCTCCATACTTTCCCAGTTGGAAAAAACAGACCTAGTCTCATAATTGTACCCTAATTACGAGGCTCTCACAGAAGGGAAGTTACATACGGGAACAGAACTAGGTGATTTTCATTCATCGTCAAGAGCCACAAATAAACAAAACAAGTGTTAAACGTGGGGGCTGGAGGGGATTTGCCTACCACTGAGCACATCTGGGCTGATGTAGGCAGGGCTCCCTCGCTGGTCTTTCAGCAGGTCATCTTCACTCACGAGGTGCTTTCCAAGACAGAAGTTTGTTATGGTTATTCGATGAGTCCTGGGGAGAGTCAGAAGAGATCAGTGAACGCAGCCCATCCTGCAGGGGCCACACACCACAGAGGAAGGTAACGCCAAAGCAGAGGTGTGCATCTGTGGGGCTTTTTGGGACACCTGAAGTGCCCGGAAAAGACAAGCGGAGCTGTAAGATCAACTCCATCCCAAGAGGGAGGGATGCCACACCGCTCAGCGTGGCTTGCGAGGCTCTTACAGGAGGAGTAAGAATCTATTTTACAGCTACAGACAATGCCCACATCGAAGGTGAGTGCTGTGTGTGAGCGTGGCCGTGAGCACAGGGGCTCACGTAACCCACACAGCCGCCTGTGGGGCAGCCTCCCAGGAGCATCCCGGCCAGCGGCACAGCACCCCACGGGCACCAGCACCACCAGGATCTGCACTTTCCTGTTTGCTGACCACTGTAGGGCGTGAGTGTTAAGAAAGCAGAAGTTTATTTTAACAGCTGATTCTCCCTACACTTCCCACCTACCATCGCTAAAGGCATCTTCTCCACACAACATTGCCTGGAAGCCGAGGGACCATACCCTACAGAAGGACTGCCCACGACGGCGCCCCGTGCACCGTTTGCTTCAGCATCACCAGCAGATGAGTTCCAGGACCTTTGATCAGATTCAGTACAACCGCTTTTGCGTTACCCCACAGTCCCACAGCAGGAGTCCTGGGGCAGATTCACCCGATCTGCGGGACTGTCCTTCACGTGCAGGTACACGGAACAGACCGAGTCTAACGAACATCCAAAAAGCCTCCTACGTCGAGTACTTCAGAAAAGGTGAGAACTGCAGGTACACGCTACTTCTCTATTAAGATACCCCTACTTCCCTATGGTATCGCCAGCTCCAATTAATGAATTTTCCAGGGAAAGTGAGCTCAGTACAAAATTACTACCACATGAAATCTTTCATGTCACTCAGGTACTTTGGATTTTAATGTACAACTTAAAGGACTGAGCAGAAAAACATTGTCTAGAAGATTTCTATATCCTTGAAAAGTATTACACAACTAGAGCCTGAGAGCATGAATTAAGTCAGTCAAAATAACCAAGAAATACTTCCAGCAAATCTAACAGACAAGTGAAATAAAACCAAGTGTGGGTTGGCAATGGAGAGTTGATTATTAAGAAAGGCAGACTGGTGTTTCAGAAGTGTTAGCTTCAACTGTCAGAGAGACTTCCCTGGCTGAATAACAATTTGCAGGATTTGTTGAAGATTTAAAAGACTAAGTGTTCTAAAGGACACTAAAGCGTTCAGGGTTGCTTGGTTTTATTTAGTCACTGAAATTTGATCTGATCTATAATCATCCAACTATGGCACCGGCTAGTTGGAAAACCTGCACGGCTTTAACGTCCGCATCTCGCAGGGGACAGTGTCTGAGGGATCTTCATCAGCCCGGGGGGTAACATGCCCAGTTAGGACTCCGCAGTGGTAAGCAGCGACCTTCACTCCCCCGCCAACAGAGAAGACCTGGCTCTTTTGTGAGCAGGGCTGGAACAGAACAAACATTTCTGATGCGCCCGAATGACTGGTCCTCTCCATGGTGATCTATTCTTACGCCTCACCCACCCTTTCACATGACTCACTGCTGTACAGGCTACAGTTTTTCCTCACCAAAGTTGATGGGCTTGCTAGTAAAAAGCAAAAACATAGCATGCGACGCAAAGAATTACTTTGGCAAGTGCGTTCACAAAGCTTCAAACACCTCCCCCTCCTGCTGGCGGGGGCCCCTGTGTGCAGCTCTGTCAGTGGGATGCTCCACCGCACGCTCTGCCCAGAAAAGAAGGGAAGCGCCGGGTGGATCCTTTGTCTGCCTCTTCTAGCAAGGAGAATCAAAGCAGCAAGCAGAAGATAAGAAATTAATCTTAAAGCAGCTCTACAGAAATGACTTAAAACGCTTACAGGTGGCCCTGAAAACCACTAGCTGCTGTGCGCCAGGGGCGGGGGGGCAAAAAGTTCCACCTCAGCAGGTAAAATCTGTTTGCTTTCAAACAGCATTAAGGAGGAGAAAGAGGCGAGCTGTGACCACAGCGAACCGGCACGCTGCGCACCGCCTCTGGAAGCCTGAAGGCCTAAAGCCGTCCAGTTTATTGATTCCACAGAAAAACAGACACTGTGAAAAGACAATGAATTCCACTCATTCTTAAAAGTTCGCACAAAATCTTTAGCCAGTAATGTAATACCAAAGGACACAGCAGAGTATCTGGACTGGAACTAGCTGGCCAACTAAGTAACTACACAACCCAAGACAAGTGAAAAACTCCAAGGAGCCACCAAGCCAAGCGCACGCGACCACCAGCTGCCTCTCACTCGTGCTGAGCCCACGAACCACTGACGCTGTTCGCTCTGCGCCGGGAGGACTGGTCCCTCCTGCGGCTGCACCGCATCCAAGACGCGTTGGACGTCAGTGCATTATAGACTGAGGCTTGCATCAAACCAGCTAATGGGGACAAGGAAGCTATTTCAAGCACAAATACAGACCAGACAGAAGAACTTTTGTTTAGATAAGTAAATATTTTACTGCTAGCAAAAACACAGCAGTGTAACAGTCAAAGATTGAACACTGCTGCGATTATAGTACAGCCTGCAGTGTTGGGAATTCCTTCAGCACAATGGAAAGTGAACGACGTGAACAGAAACTCTTACCACGTTTTAATTCTCTTTTTTTTTTTTTTAATATATATAAGCATTTCTTTTGCAGGTTTCTGAATTACTATAACATTTAGTTTTCAGAAGTTAGATTCCAAAAAGAAGTGCTGACCTTGGTCACTAAGCTTGGTGGAAGAGTGAACTATCTAGGTTGTGCTCAATTCATTTTTGGAGATTAACACACATAACTTTGAGCTGGATTTTTTTTTTTGCGTGGCCTGCTTCCATTTCCCTCGCCCTTCTCACATGACAGCACTCTCAAGCGCTGTCTTCCTTTGTGTTTCTAATAGAAATCTGCTCCGGGGAAGAAACTTAAGACAACTGCCAGAACAGCAGCTCTTCAGCAGACTTACCTTTTGTTTAGCACCATGTTTCCTAGTTTCAAGTCTCTGTGCACAATATTTTTCTGTAAAATATATAGTACAACATGAGCAAAAGCGTATTTGTTATAGAAGTATAAATCTGACAAAAGCACTAAGTATTTTTTGAAATCATGTTCATCTTCATTTGCAGAAATAAGCAAGATCCAGGTTTTGTCAGGTTGCATCCTGGATGCTTTGTGCACTTCATTTTCAGTTCTGGTCAGAAGGACAAACCAAGCAAATTCGCTACTTTGAACACACAGACCTGACTAAAACTAAGAAGCCTGAAACTTAAAGTGTCCAGGCTCAGCGAGACCAGTATGATGAGCATTTCCTCAAAAGACACGTGCTTTGTTGCTCTGCCAAGGAAGGATGGGTGTCCCTCGTCACAGGGCAAGAAGTCAATCATCGGCAGAATCTATTTTTGTTACAGTAATTTCTAGTTCATTGATCTCAAACTCATAGCTTGAGGTTCTGATCTCAGAAATCAATTCTTACATTGTGATTTATTTAGCTTCCAACGGAAGTAGCCTGAAGTGTTTCCTATGTTTGATTAGCCTCTGCTCTCCTCTTCGGCCGCCCCTTTCTGAGGTTACTAACGCTGTAGCTCACCTGATCTGCATTTAGTCCAGCTGGCCCCTCTCCACGGTCAATAAATGCTACGTTATCATCAAGAAACTTGAGGGGAGGGGAAGGGAATGCTCTTCCATGGCTTGAGGCATGAGGCCTCACACAGAACACTGTTAGAGGGAAACAGCTGAAACACCCATCCTCTGTAACCTTGCCACTGCCTGCACAAGGATGTTGCTTTAAAACTTCTACTATACTAACGTGGGAAAACTAATCCTTCCAGCACTGCAAGGGATAACAAAGATCTTACCTTATGTAATGCTTCTACCACTCGTACCACATCATAAAATATCACTACCGTCTCCCGCTCACTGAGTCTCTTCTCTTTAATGACATAATGCTGCAGATTGATCAGATCTGCTGTTTTGTCACTGAAATCATGAGCACAGAGACAGTCTAACACAAGACAAATGCGCTTCTTCATTTTTCTGACCATTCTGTTGGCTTCTAGATCCTCTATGATTTCACAAGCTCGGTCCTACAGGGAGGCAAACAAATAAGCAATAGTTCAGGGAAGCTATCTGGGCATATGTACTTACTTAGAGAGCACTAGAGAATAAATAACTATACGGTGATCTCAAAATAAGCAAACGCAATCGCAGTGCTTGATCTTTGCCCCGAGTTGGGATTTCAAAAAGAAGATACATGATCTCTACTTAACGAAGCCAGAGAAAGTCTATGCTGTTTGGCTGTACGCGTATGTCAGCACTGATACTGTTTATATACACACAGACACCTTTAGATAAAACCCAGAAAAACTCTACAGTGGTACAGACCAGGGATCCAACACATCAGTAATGAGAACAGAAATCTTAAGACACAATTAGCAGTTCTTCCATAACATTAACCAGGACACAGCTGAGCTGGACATCTGGCTTATTTAAGATATAGTACAGATGGCCCCAAATGGAAATCTGTTGATAAAATTTAACCAGCAAGCAAGGCAATGCCAACACCCAAACCAGCACTTCCTACCGGCCCATCACATCCACGAACAGCTCTGAAGGCGTTAACAGCAGCGTAATTCACTCACACGAGACACTGATCAGCGCATTGAGTAGTTTAACTTGCTGAAACAGTTTCTTGGCAATTTGTGCCCTCTTCTAAGTCATCATAAAATAGTACAGAGACTGGAAAGCACAAATGCAGTTCTAAAGGGTGCTCTATGGGCACAAATTAATTTGCCAGTTATTCTCCTACTTGAAGGGGACGCCACTGAGCGCCTGTCCCATCTTTGAATGTTCTCACGTTTCCCAAATCCCATTACATCCCACTTAACTCTCAACAGCCCCTGCCACAAACTTGTTTGTTTGAAGCAGCAGTGGTTAGTCTCAGCGGTGTGCTGGTAATTCTTTACACACAGGAACGGGGTCAGCACGAACTGTACATTAAACAAAAGCAGCTCAAGCCAACAGCAATTACTGGCGTTGCCCCAACCCGGATGGAGACCAGCTGTACCTGAAAGAGCCCGTGATGATGAACCACTCCTTCCTGGTTGTGGAGCAGGGAAAGGAGAGAATACTCCGTGTGTAGCAGCATCTTGCCCTGTCGTTCCTCCTGGGTTTCTATTCCTTTATCACCCCTTTCTTCTAAGGTGAGAATCTTCAGGAAGAGGGAAAAGACCTTTACAGCTCGCACAAAAAACCCAAACGCTCCCAAACACCTCACATTTTAGGTATTCACATGTGTTTAACAGCTGATGTAATTACTCTGTTTGCATACTTGCCACAAACCTGTCTGAACTAACACCTGTGCAGAACGCATAGCATGAGCTTGATTAACACAGAAAAGCGGCTCAGGCAGCTTTTTGCAAATATCCCATGTGATTTTTCCCCACCAGAGCCACCCCCATTTCAGGCACAGCGGAGCAGAGGGCTCCAAGAGAGCACTGCACAGCAGCCACAGAGGCCTCGTCTCAGGGCTGATCTCGACACCAGACCTATCCCTGGCAGAACTGCCCCACCGAGGGGAAGTTCCAGCCGCCACTTCCGACAGCGCACTGGGTCAGCCTCCACCACACACTGCTGCAAGCGCTTCTCTCGCCAGAGCTCAAGTTGAAGAGCTCTGAAGTTTGCTTACCTTTAGCTGATAAAAGTCATCTGTCCCATCCTTTCTTGCCAAACACTGAACAATACTTGGCACAGGGGAGTTACCTAAACGTGGACCTAACAGCACAAAGCAAAAACAGACTTGTTTTCCTTTAAGCAGCAATGACTAATTCAGGGTTACATCAGTATGCAAGTGTCACACAGTTTACATTAGTTTAAACTCAGTTCCCTTTTTTCAGGAGATTAAATGCGTTTCCACAAATTACAGTCTAAAGAAAAAAAAAAAAGGTGCATTGAACTCTGAAACCTTTTTGGACAATGTTTCATTTGTTCACTGGAGAAACATTTAACAAGAGCCCACACATGGCACAGCTGTTTTCAGAAATTCAAATTTCTGCATGCCCGAACCATAAGGCTTTTACATTTACTAGCAACACCCATGGCAACTGCTGTTACCACACCTCTGAACCCAACCGCCACCTCTGCAGGCACTGCTCAGGTACGCAGATTCGTCCACATTTCAAGTTAATATACACTCTCCACTCTTCAGTTTAAATCAATCAGCTTCCAACTGTTTATCCATTGGTTCCCACTGTGAAGTCCATCATGTTTTTGACGGTTTATAGAACTAGCTCTGAACTAACAACTATTCTAGCAGCTCTCAACGGTAGCAGAGTGCTCGTGCCTTGGCACACGCTGCTAATGAGCACTACTGCATTAAGCGGTCTGCACGCTGATTAGACAGCATACTCCAGGCAAGCAGGGCTGAACATTTCCCCAGAGCTCTGACCAGAAAGCCCCCTGAATGAATTTGCTCTTTAACAAAGTCTACGAATGTGGGTTAAAAAACCCCAAAAAACGAAAGGGAAAAGCAAGGGTTCATATTCATCTTAAAAGCCGTACCTGCCTTGCTGTATTAGTATTACAAACCTCCTTAGCTTGACTCGCTGCAGAAGCTCCAAGGGCTGCTGCTCTGCTACAAGGGAATTGCACTCTGAGGTAAGACACTAAATGACACATCTGCTTTGCCTCGTTTCATAATGCCTTTTCTTTTCAGTTTTGCAATCAGTAGCTACCTTGAAAACCAACGAAGAAAACCCTCTCTGCTTACCTAGTATAAAAGGGCCCGCTCTCTTGGCATTATTTCCAGAAATCCCTGTACAAAGAGCTTTTGCCTTAGTGGATGTTTCCCCAGCTCCTCTGTCTGATGCTCGCCGCTTCATCCTTGGCTCTTGAAAGAGAAAGAAGATCACATCTGATGAGCAACTGAGAAAATTTCTTATACTATCCCTTATTTCATACTGGAAGGCTTTCACCTACTGATGCACTCGTGTCTCTGCCTACTCGTGTTTCTACAAAAAGGCTGTGGCTCATTACTGATAGACCAGTTGTGGGTTGGATGCTTAATGCATTTTTGAAGGTATAAATCAGCCTCATTATTCAAAGCAACATTTCCTAGAACAGTTGTTTGAGAGACATAGTGGGAACAAGTCAAAATAATTAAAGCTTGTTTTACAGCAAAAACAAGTTTGCCAATTAACATATTCCAAAAAACTCTGAAAGAAAATCTAAGTTACCCTTTTGTATGCGTGTCTACTTCTGATTGAGCCTATGGACTTTTGTGGGTTCCCCCACGGAGGGCTTCCCACCGGGCACCGCAGCCAGCACGCCGGGGAACTCGGAAGGCTCGAGTCTGCTCCTCAAACAGCCACGAATGCACAAAACTGTCCACAAAAATTAACAATGTCTTTCACCTTTTCCAGCAAGGGCATGGAAGACTAAAGCACGCCAGTTATTGTGAGATTCAGTTAATTTAACAATGATTTTCCAAAAGCGTATTTTTCGGCTTAAAATGAGTCCTTCCTCTCTCTTTCTACCTCTTTGGGCTCTCACCTTTTTATTACATTACATCTCCATCTATCTACATCTGATGCAGCTGAAATTTGAGTCCAACATATAAAACTGTCACTTGAGTCTCCACGCGCAGGAAGTGATGCTTTGTTTGGAATTAACACGCTGTTACCTGCCTTTAATGGATACTCCAATGCAAGGAAACACTGTGGTGCCAGTACCCGTGCTCTTTTGCACCACCACTCCACGCAAAGAACAATTTAATCTATTAAATAAGAGTCTCATGCTTTTCGTCCAAGTATTCAAGGTTCACACACCACTTCAATCCAGCACAAACAACTAAAAGCTCAACTAACTCCTACTTGTTCAGGTATTGCAGAAAACCCGATTTCCAACATACATTTTCTGCTGCTCAGAAGTCTAAAGAGAATTTGAGGCGGTGTTGCAGAACTAATACCTAAAGGGCCAAATAAATTCAAACCTCTGTGACTAAAACACTCCTTCCCCAAAGGAAAGTCTTGTTTCAGCTTAGCAGGAAAAGAACCTCCCGCGGTTGCTGCCCGGCTGACCTTCCCACGCTGCGTGCTCACGGCGAGCACAAATCAGCTCCAGCAAACTGAAGTTTTGTTCCCAATACACCTCCCATTCACCTTCAGCTCTTGGAAAATAGTTTCAAAGACTTTCACAAATATCCAAACATTAAATGCTCACGCTCTAACATTTCAAAGTGTTTTTTTTTTTTTTTTAATGGGGTGGGGGAAGAGTTGGAACTAAGCACAGATCCATTTTCTTGAGCAAGTCAAAACCAAGCGCCGGCAGTCTTCCCTACGAGGTTACTACAGCAGACTGGGAAAATATTTTTGGGTTGTACTTATTTGTTTTAAAAAAGTCCCAGTGTTTCACCACGTAAGAGACTGATGATAAATCACCGTACTTTGAATGAAGTTTACCCTCTGGCAGTCCCACCCTTTCTGTGGACACAAGCGTGATCTCATTGCATTAATTCATCTCGCAGTACCTGTCACCGAGATCGGAGATAGCACGAGAGATAAGGGGAGCAGCCTCACAGCAGCCTTCGCATCCCCGCGCTCCCGGCTTCCACCAGCCGCTCGATCTCCAACGCTGAAGCGTTACCATGCCCGGCCAGCTGAGCGGAACGGAGTCCCGAGCCCCATATGCTCCTTGTTCTGTTCATTCCGCATCCCTGACCTAATATTTGACTATGCCTTATAAAATTCTCCACTCCTTGCAACATCGTCACCCCTGCTGGAAACGTATGAGTAAGATTTCCACTGGAGAAACCCCACTGCACAGAAACTCTGAGATAATGACCGTTGTGCAATCCGGGCTGGATGGGAATCGCTGGTGCAAACGGCGTTATCGTAAACAAAATAATCTGAGGACTCACGTAGTTCAGCATCAACTGTATCTTTACTCTTCTTCCAAACTAGGTTTTCCAACGTCTCAGGAGACAGGAGTCATCACCTTGGAGAAGGCTGGATGGTCGAAAGGTCGAGGACTCTGTAATGTGAAACGAGATACACTTGATGCTGTGGTTCTGGATTATTCTTGATTACGATAACGTGGTATGCACCAAAGCTTCTGCAGCTTGAAACATCTGTGTTTATTTTGGCTTAGAAAAGGCCTGAAGCTCCTGATACCACGTGAGAGAATAAAAGGGCTCTTGAAGTTCAGTCCCCAAAGAGTCAGAGACGCATGGCCCTGCGCAGCAAGACAAATACAAACGTCAACGATCTCAAAAGGCATTTTGTGATGCGAGACAGACCTTCAGAGCAGAAACAAACACGTTCTCCGTTTCAACCTCCGCCACATGGTACTAGCTTGCCTGTTTTTAACAGTGTCTTAAATGCACCCAAGCTAGCAACGCTGCCGCAACAGAATCTTCACCACTGGAAGCAATTTTTAATCACGGTAAGAGTTAATGCCTAAAGTTTGGACTTGAACAGAACAATTTCTGCATACAACAAAGAAGAATACATTGAGTTTTACTCTTATCAAATCCCCACTGCAACTTAATGCCTCTTTGCAATTTACAATCAGCCTCTTAAAAAAAAAAATCAAACTAATTCAAACTCAAATTCAGTACCGCTTAATAGTTCATCTGGTCCCATTCAAAAAAAAGAAATTTAGGATTTAAACCTAGGTGCTCTAGAATTGAATCTACACCACCTCTACCAAGTGCTTACAGTTTAACGTGTTATACATTTCTTACTCCAAGCTGGTTTACTTTACCAGTATCCAGCTAGATCGACTTAAAAATACACAAGGAACGTTCGGGATGCAGGAGCCAAACTCCCAGCACCACCCAAAACACAACACAGTATTATCACCCGGTCCTGGGGGATCCGCAAAGACTGCTAGAGACCTTTCCGAATTAAAGCACCACAGCTATACATGCTTTGATGAACAATGCTGAGAGCCGCGGCTCTAGGCAGCAGGATGCGCCGGGCAGGCAGCGCGGTGCGGCGGCGCGCAGGCAGCCCGCTCACCAGCCAGCGCTTTCGGTATGAGTCGTCTCGGCGCTGAGAGCGAGCGGAGGTGCCCCAGCCCTACCGCTGCTTAAAGGACATCCACCGACTTAAATATCACAGCTCTGTCACAGAATACTTGTAAGAGCAGCTGAGAAAAACACCAATATAAATGGGTACTCAACTATTAAGGACAATCCTGTGCCACTCACGGCACTGTCTACCCAATCGCCCTGCTCGGTTCGTGCTGCATCGCGAGGGTAGCAGAGCCCACCAAAAATCTCAGGAGCCCTCAGCAGCGCCCAGAGGGTTTACAGGTGAGCACTTCAGGTTCCTCAGAGACTGGAAGGAAGGACAGTTGGATGGAAGGAAGGTCCCAGAACAAAGATAATAAAACCGGGGGCAGCTG